GGCGCGTGGCGGCATGGCCAGCGGCACCAGCTGCGGCGGCGGTGGCTTCGACGACAGCTGCAGTGGCGGCGAAGCTTGCAACACTCCGCGGCGTGGCTGGGCTCCGCGACGGTGGGACGGCCGGCGAGAGTCAGCCGTCGGCTGCGGCGAGGAGGGGACGCAGAGGAAGGGGGCGGGGCTTCAGCCGTGGAGCCTGGGAGCGTGCCGCCCCGTGTGGCGCGCTGGCTACATGCGGGCGTGCTGGCCAGCGCTAAGACTGGGCGCTGGCTGCTGCCTTCCGTGCCGTCCGTGCAGTGGCGCGTCGACGCCGCCACGGCAGCACGACGTCGCCGTCACGGGAGCACGACATGGCCGTGGCAGCGGTGCGGAAAGGACAGGAGCGAGGACCGGACTTTGCGGAAGCGTGATAAGCAGGCCCAAGAAAGGCAACCTGCTCTGATACCATGTTGAACATGGCTAGGTAAGAGGAGGAGCCATGAAAATGGCAAGAGGTTTTAGGCTAGGAGAAAGTTACGAGAGAGAAGAACGGTGGACTAAAAGAGAGAGGAACACAAGAAGGGGGGTTGTACCCTTTACAGTAGGATCTAGTAACACTTACCAAGCCTACCATTACATATATCAAATATATAATTCAACAGAAACAACCTCAATTCAAGAGCTACTGGTCAATCCTCGCCATCCTCCTCCCCATCCTCCTTACCATCCCAGACGTGTGCTAAATCTTCTACTGGGAGAGCGTTTACGACCTTGTACGTCTCCCTTGAGTGCCTCTCCTGCACCTTCTCGCGATATTCCTCTCCTCTCTTCCTCTTCTCGTTGACACGAACCTGAAAAATAAAACAAAAAGGAGACACGGAGAAACGTGACCGGTTTTGCTTGGATGTAGGTGAAACCTGACCAATGTGGGAAAAACATTGTTCCTATCACAGAAGGAACCTTAAGGTTTTTACACACCTTATTGGGCGAAATGTAGTGAGGATTCTCATAAAGTGTGGGCCCTCCAAATGTGCCGGAGAATACGCGAATGGGATTCAGGCAGAAGCGAGGTCCAACCTAGATGGAAGTGAGAAGACGGAGGGGGTATAGAAAGGCAGGGAAAATAGACCCATGTGGTGAATGCTTCTCTCATGCAAAAGTCTCTCAACTCAACACCAGATCCAAGCACTCGACAATATACACACACTAATCCTTGGCCTCAGTTCTCATTCTGTTCCAACATCAGGAGGTACAGTACCTCCTCTAGTGACATTTGGGTGTCACTCAACAGCTAAATGTACACGCCCTTACCTCCACTAACGACATCTTCTCCATGGTGATTTCATCGATTTTGGATGCTCCCTCTGCTCCAGGAATGCACATCTGAAACGCACCAAGCGGTTGGATCAGTATGTCGTGCCAATATCTTCTGTTTGCAAGTTACCACTTGTGTGCACAGGGAGTCTCTTGAATCAAATTATCAAATGGATTTGTACACAGAGACTGCATGATGCACAGGATGTGCACAGGATGTGACTGGGGACGTGAGCGCGTGATCCTATTGGTGGAACTTACTTGGTAGTTTCTGAACCAGATGCGGTTGTCCAGGTAGGTGAATGTGAGCACGTGGTCGTAGAAGGGCTTCGACTTGCGATGGCCTTTAGGGGTCGCAAACGTCTGCAATCCGTCCAGGCAAGGTTTGAATGCACGCACGTCAGATGAGGCAACGGTGTTGACCTGAGTTGAAATCTGATGCAAGGCCTGACTTTGTATGACAGCCAAGGACCGAGCAATCAGATAGTGAGGCGTATGGGAGAGTGGCTGTATGACTGGAAGGAAGAGAAGGGCAAGGGCGCGTGCGTGCCTGAATGAAGAGTTCCTTGAGCAGGGAGAGGAAGGGCAGGCGGTCGAAGGACGGCGAGAAGGTGAGGAACGGCCGCGAGCCCTTGAGGTGGTTGCCTGTGAGCTTGAGCTCCTCCATAGTGTGCACTGGGGGGTAGAGAATGGGAAGGGGGGCGAGAGGAAGGGGGATGCAAGGCGGGGAGAAAGGGAGCCCTTGAGGTGGTTGCCAGGCAATTTGAGCTCCTTCATGGTGTGCACTGGGGGGCGGAGAATTAGGGGGGGGGAGGGGGAGAGGGGGAGGGGAGGCGGAGAGGAAGGGGAAGCATGGGAGGGGAAGAATGTGAGGGCCCTGGAGGTGGTTTCCGGTCAGCTTGAGCTCCTCCATAGTGTGCACTGGGGGGTGGAGAAATGCGGAATAGGGTTGAGATAGGGTCGAGTGGGGTGGGGTGGGGTGCACAGGGAAGAAGGCAGGGGAGAAGGAGGAGGAGGGAGGAATGGGGATGGGGTCAGTGCACAATCGTACCAACACATGCTCATTCCAACAACACATTCAATTGAATGACAAGCATACCGGCACTGACGAGAAACTTCACGGAAGGTCCTGCGGGCCCCTTGCTGAGCCACAGGTAGAGGTCTCTCTGCTTGCGCATCTGCAGCGACATGGGCAGAGAGAGAGAGGGAGAGAGGGGGAGAGAGGGGGAGAGAGAGGGAGAGAGAGCACAGGGTGACGGGTGGTAGGGACATGGACATGGGTGACTGGCTCACAAATGGAGGCGGGGGTCGCAAGTGCATGGCAGTGAGTAAACCAAGTGCAAGCGCAAGTGCAAGTGCAAGTGCCGGGCGTCCGCACGAAGGAGGCAAACGAGAAACAACGGACGGGGCGGGGAGATGGGGGATGGGGTTGGAAGAAAACGGGGGAGGAAGGGTGGTGGGGGGAGCAAGAGGAGGGAGCAATGGGAGAAAGGGCAAGGTGGAGAGGGAGGCAAGGTGGAGAGGGAGGTAAGGTGGAGAGGGAGGCAAGGTGGAGAGGGAGGCAAGGTGGAGAGGGAGGCAAGGTGGAGAGGGAGGCAAGGTGGAGAGGGAGGCAAGAGACCTCGAAGAAGAGGCAGAGCGAGCAGCCCCGGAGGTCCATGAGCTCTGAGGGCGCCTCGTTGAGCAGCAGCAGTGAGTGGGGCGCTACTGATGCCAACGCAGAGAGCAAGAGAAGAGAAGACTGTGCGAGCAATGGAGGAGGCGGAATACGGACCTCGAAGAAGAGGCAGAGCGAGCAGCTGCGGAGGTCCATGAGCTCCGAGAGCGCCTCGTTGAGCAGCCTGCCCCGCGCCACGTCCACCTTGGGCTCCTTCTTGGAGTGGGGCAGCAGCGAGACAATGTCCTCCATCAGATGGCGGTACCTGGGGAGTGGGGAAGGCAAGGGGGTGGAGGGAACGGGTGTGACACGTGAGCCACGTCCACCTTGGGCTCCTTCTTAGAATGGGGCAGCCGCGAGACAATGTCCTCCATCAGATGGCGGTACCTGCAGGGGGGAAGGTCGCGAGAGTAAGAGGGAAGCCAGGCGGCGGGAGTAAGAGCAGGTCACCACTGTGAGAGGGCCCTCGAGCCACGTCCACCGTGGGCTCCTTGCTGCCGTGCGGCAGCAGTGCACAGCAACACGATTTCATCCGTTAAGTGGCGGTACCTGCAGGGTGTGAGCGAGGGGATGAGACTGACATGTGTGTGTGACGGCCCTCGAGCCATGTCCACCTTGGGCTCCTTGCTGTGCGGCAGCAGGGACACGATGTCCTCCATTGGATGGCGGTACCAGCAGGGGAGGGAAGGGGCGGGAATAAGAGCGTTCAGGACCGTGTGGGAGGGCACTCGAGCGGCTTCTGAGCCACGTGCACCTAGCGCTCGTTGGTGCTGTGTGGGAGCAGAGAAACCGTGCCCTCCATAATGCGGCGGTACCTGCGGGGTGTGCAGGACGGTATGGGGAGTAGACAAGAGAGAAGCTAGAAGAAATCAACGTGCGAGCGCGGTCGGATTGGCTAAGCGTCAAAGCCCTGCATAGAAACCCTGTGCCCGGTAAAACCCGCGCGCAACCGTAATCCCCTCAAAAACCCCGAGACCAACCCAAGACCAACCTGTACACGATGCCGCGCGACGACAGCACGAGCACTTTCTCCTTCTTAAACCCGACCACCGCTTTCCCCTGCAGTGCACCCGCTAACTCGCCCGCTGCTTTCCCCTGCGTCTCGCTCTTCGGAATCAGCCCCACGTGCACTACTCGCATGCTCTGTCGTTCTTTCGCCGCTTCCTCCGCTGCGGTTTTCGCTACGGCTTTCTTCTGCTTCTTCTTCGCGATCATCTCCTGTTTCTTCGTTAAAAGCGGCTTCGCTTTCGCGCTGATGTGCGATTGGGCTTTCGCTGCTGGAGCACCGGTGGTAACCGTCGCCTTTTGAATTTTCGCAGAGGATTTCGCCACGCCTAGCGGCTTCTGGGTCGTTGGCTTCGATTTCGCCGGCGCCGGTTTCGACTTCTTCGCCATTGGATAAGCCAACCGGGCAACGCGAAGGAAAAGGGGAAAAGGAGGAAAAAACTGGCGGCGAGCGAAAAGTGAGCGGGATCCGCAAGGTTCTATGGAAATGCGCAACGATCGGGACGAAGGGAGAGAGTGCACCCAAGACTATGGCGAGGCGACTTGAGTGGTGCAGGCTAGAACTCGGTTTTCAGCGGAGTTTCTCGCTGGTGGATGGGTGAAGTATGCTGGAAACTTGATAGGCGAGGGGTTTAGGCGAAATCTTCTGCGTTGGAAATTTGTGTTGCCTTTGCAATTTTGTACAGGGTGTAGCACAGTAGAGCTCGTTGTATTTTGATGGGTGTTTGTATCGAGTATACCAATTTTCCCGAATGCTGTGAGCCGGGCGGGAGGGAGCGTCACCCTCACGTTCCCCAAACAGCGCCGCAGGTTCGGGCCTGACCTGGCCTGAGACCTCGATTTCATCGTCACCCATACGAAGATGACGAAGTCACGCCAAGCAGGGAATTGGCGGGAAAGCAAACTTCAGCGATTTCAACCGCACTGCACCCTTCATGCTTCCCGCTTCTGCATGTTTTTTTGGCTCAGGTTCAAAGCATCATGGGTGTTCCATCCCCACATAAATCTCTGATGCAATTCGTCTTGCTTCAGGAGGTTGTTTCTTTCCGACTTCTTTACCTGTTGGCGCTACGCTGCATGCTTCTAAGATTGCCCTAGCCTGTTGAAATCTTCAGTTAGTCTGCAGAACACCAGAACACCTGGCGGTAACGATGGTTGCCGCTACGCGAAGCCGTCGCAAGTTATCCCACGAAATAGATTCGTTAGAGCTTAACGCGAACAATAAGCTAGTAGTGCCTCTCGCCAATACTACGCGACAGCACGCTGCGTTAGCAGAGGACTCGTTTTCTGTCAAACCTCGGGCTTCTAACGGGGACAACAGCGAGCCCAGTCCGAGCGAGGGTTCCAAGCCTAGTCCGAGCCTGCCTTCCGAGTCTAGCCCGAGCCTCGCTACGAGGTATGGGTCACGACTTAATAGTGCAGAGGCGAGTGGTGAGCAGTCCCTTGGGATTGACGATACTCCAAACTCGAAGAGGAGAAACAGCAGGAGTGGGCGAGCGAAGACTGGCGAAGAGGGCGAAATGGGAGGCATTCTGGCGAAGGTTTTCGCCAGTGTAGGTAACACTGCTTGCGTTGGTGATGGCAGCAGCGGCGGAAGCAGGGAGGGGGTGGCGGGAGGGGGCGAGAGAGGGGCTGAGGAGGAAGGAGGGGGAGGAGGAATGGCGGGTGATGTTGATGCAGGGAATCGATCTGACGGGGGAGAAGCAGGAAAAGGAAAGCGGAGTGAGATAGAAGGTCCAGGAGTCGGGGGTGGGGGGATAAGAGAGGATGAAGACGCGCAGGCGCAGGAGCAGGGGGGGAATGCTCGGGGGGAAATGGCGGGCGGAGGGGGAGAGGCGGAAGGGGATGGGGGAAAAGTAGAGGGGGATGGGGGGGAGATTGGGGTGGCGGAGGAGTGGGGGGCGCTGTGGAAGGGGTGCGGGGGGATTCAGATGTTTGAGAAGGCGGGGGAGACGGAGGAGATGGAGTGGGCGGGGGATGGGTGGATGGCGGACACTCAGATTGTGGGGGAGGACGACGAGGGGGCGTACGGTGTACTTGGGAATGGTGGGGATGATGGGGATGATGGGGATGGTGGGGATGATGGGGATGATGGGGATGATGGGTGTCGTGGGAAAGGTGGAAATTCGCCAGTGCAAGGGCAGGAGACAGGGAATGCGTTAGTGCGGGACAATAATCAAGAGGAGACGAGAGAAGGGGAGGATCAAGAAGAGGGGGGAAAGCCAGAGGAGGGGAAGAGGTTAGAAGAGGGTAAGAAGAAAGAAGAGGAGAAGAAGCAAGGAGAGGGGAAGGGGAAAGAAGAGGAGCCGAGGAAAGGAGAGGATCAGAGGAAAGGAGATGATCAGAGGAAAGGAGAGGATCAGAGGAAAGGAGAGGATCAGAGGAAAGGAGAGGGGAGGAGCAAGCGAAAGGAGGAAGGCAAGGACAAGAGGAGAGGCAAGGTCCGGAGGAGAGGCAAGAGGACGAGGAATCGCCTGTATCCTCTAAAGGAAGAGGTAGGGGAACAGGGAAGGGGAAGGGGAGGGGGAGGGGAAGAGGCGGAAGACGAGGTGGGGGTCGCTGTGCGGGCAAGGGGAAGGGTGGCGCGCTAGGGATGGTGAAGGAGGATGCGGAGCGAGGGGATGAGGAAGAAAGGAGAGGGGCGAGGTAGGAGGTGCAGTAGAAGCATCCACACCCGCAGCACGAGACACAGCAGAAAAAGACGCAGCAGCAGCAGCTGCAATAGATACACCAGCAGCAGCATTAAACGCACCAGCAGCAGCAGCAGCAGCAGCATCTGCTCTTACGGAGTCAGTGGATCCAGGCGAGGACACACAGGTGGATGCGCTGGGCATAGTGGCTCGCCTGCTCGGCTCTGACAGCCAGCCGGGCAGCCAGCCGGACAATGATGTGCTTGTAAAGGGCGGAGCGCTGGGAGGGATACTAGGGGGAGTGGCTGGGGGCGTGGGGGGTGATCGTAACGGGGGTAGTGAGGTAGGGGGTGCGGGAAAGGGGGCACCAAGTTGGGCCAATTGGCTCAAGCCCGTGGGGAAAGCAGGAGAGATGGTTACAGAAGGGCCTGCGGTTACCCCTAGTGTGCAGCCGTTACGGGCTGTGCTGAGGGCAGATGGGGCGGACCCCTATGCCCTGCCGTACAGTGAAGAGGCGGAGGATGGGGAGCCCTGGGGGAAGGGCGCTGGGGGAGAGGCCGAGAGAAGGGAGAATGGGGGGAAGATTGATGGAAAGCGGAAGGGGAGTGGAGATGAGATGGAGGAAGAGGAGGAGGCGGAAAAGGCGCAGAAAGGGAAGGGGAAGGGGAAGGGGACACGTGGAGGGACAAGAGGTAGGGGGAGAGGGAGAGGAAGAGGGAGAGGCGGGGGGAAGGCGAGGGGGAGAGGGAAAGGGACGACAGGGACAGGTGGCAAGGGTGGCATAGAGGAGAAGGAGAAGGGGGAGGGGGAGGGGGAGGGGGAGGGGGAGGAGGGGGTAGAGCGAACGGTCGCTATTGGTGCAGGTGGGACAGGGAGGGGGAGAAAGAGAGGGAGGGCTGCTGGAAGGGTTGCGACCCCATCCAGTGACTTGGATAGGGAGTACTTTTTGAAACTGAGTCAACTGCAGGAGGAGGAAGAGGAGGAGGAGGAGAAGGGGAAGAGAAGACGGATGTCCAAGTCATGGAGGGCGGGAGACGGAGCAGGGAGAGGCGGAGAGGAGGAGAAGGGAGGGAAGGAAGGGGGGGAGAAGGGAGAGAAGGACGGGGAGAAGAAGGGAGGGAAGGGCGGGGCGAAGTTGAAGGGAGTGAATGAGGAAGGAAAGGAGGGATCAGGAATGGAAGGCCAAGGGAAGGAGAAGGACGATGGGCACGAGAGTGGGGAGGGTGCAGGAAAGGAAGAGGAAGGGCTGGGAGTGGGGAAGGACGAGTCAGTCACTGCCAGGATTGAGGAGACAGGATCAAAGCTGAGACTGGGAGAATCGGCACCTATGGGAAGCGAGGAAGGAGGGCTGAACCCGGGGGTGGGCGAGCCAGCAGGTGATCGATTGAGGCTGGGCGAGCCAGCAGGGAGCCAGATGCCCGAGTCAGAGGATCTGCCCTTCGATTCACAGGCGCCCTGGATGGACTCCCAAGCGCTGGGGATGGGATCAGGAGAGCTGGGGGCGGGCAGCCTGGGCGTGCAGGTGAGCCTGGGAGAGGTGCTAACTGCGGACCTGGAGATGTCGCAGGGGTGGGCGGTGGGGGAAGAGAAGGGGGAAGCGGTGGGGGGTGAGGAGAGTAGGGGAGCAGTGGGGGGAGGGAGTGAAGAGGGGGGTGAGGGGACGGTGAAGGGGAGTGAGGGAAGGAAGGCTGGGGCTGAGGATGAGATTAAGGCTGATGGGGAGGGGGGCAAGGCTGGTGGGGATGCGGGTGCAGGTGTGGCAGCAGCGAAAGGGAGGGACAGAGAGGATGGAGTGGATAAGGATGGGGCAGGGGCGGGAGGGAGGGACGATGGAGGGAGGGAGGGGAAGAGAAGGCGCGTGGGGGAGGGGCTTGGCGGTGAGGGTGGGGCAGGAGGTGGGAGAAGTGCGGAGGCAGCAGGAGCAGCAGTGATTGGGGCAGCAACAGAGGCAGGAGGAGGAACCGAGGCAGGGGAAGATGCATTGACAGGGGGAGAGACAGAGACAGGAGGGGAAACATTGAGTGGGGGAGCAGCAGAGAGAGGGGGAGCAGCAGAGAGAGAGGGAGAAGCAGAGAGAGGGGCAGCATTAGATGCGGGGGAAGCCGCAGAGGCAGAAAAGGCAAGAGAGACAGGAGGGGCAGCAGTAGCAAGCAGGAACGCCGCGAAAGCAAGGGCGTCGGCAGCACTAGCAGCCTCCATTGCGTTTGAGTTCTCCCCTGTGGGCGAAGACACCCAGATCGCCCTTGATGCCTTGGACCTGATTCTCGAGCAGGGGGTAGGCGAGGGGGGAGGACTGGTGGAGGAAGCGAGTGGGAATGGGAAAGGGAAGGGGACAGCAGCGGTGAGGGGGAAAGGGAGAGGGAAGGGAGGAGGAGGAGTGGAGGGCCTGAAAGGGAAGGGCGCAGCAGGTGGCTTGAATGTTGCGGCTTCACCAGCAGCAGCAGAAGCAGCTCTAAAAGCACCAGCAGCAGCAAAAGCAGCAGCAGAACTAAAAGCAGAAGCAGAACCAGAAGCAGAAGCAGCACCAAAAGCAGAAGCAGGACCAAAAGAAGCAGCAGATCCAAGAGCAGCAGCAGAACCAAAATCAGCAGCAGAACCAAAAGCAGCAGCAGAACCAAAAGCAGCAGCACCACCAAAAGCAGCAGCAGCACCAGAAGCCCGAGCAGCATCAGAACCCGCAGCAGCACCAGCAGCAACCGCATCACTAGAAGCACCAGCAGCACCAGCAGCATCACGAGAAGCACAAGCATCATCAAAGGGAGCACCAGCAACAGCACCAGCACCCGCAGCTGCACCAGCAGCAGCACAGGCAGCTGGAGAAGGGGCACCATCGCTTTCGCCCTTAGAAGCAGTAGGGGCAAAAGAAGCTGTATCCGTGGCAGCAGCAGCACCGTCTGCATCAGTGGCAGCAGCAGCCGCAGCAGTTGCAGCAGCTGCAGTGGAGAGACGGGTGGTTGGACGGATGGCAGAAGTTGGGAGAGGGGCTGGGCTGGTGGGGTTGGAAAGCGCTGTGATGGAGGTGGAGGAGCAAGAGAAGGGGAGAAACCATAGTGAGGGAACGGAGAGGTGCAATGAGGAAAGGCAAGGAAGATCAGTGCAGAGAGATGAGGAGGTGGAACGAGGTCAGGCACACACAGAAGGGATTGCTGCTGCTTCCGCTGCCGCAGGCGCTCACAAAGCGTCTGTCGCTGTCGCTGCTGCTGCTGCTGCTGCTGCTCCTGGTACTGTGGCTTCTGCTCCTTCTCCTGCTCCTGCTCCTGCTCCTGCTCCTGCTCCTTCTCCTGCTCCTGCTCCTTCTCCTGCTCCTTCTCTTTCTCCTGCTACTGCTGTTGCTGCTGCTGCTGTTGCTGCTGCTGCCGCTCCAGCAAATGGCATCACTGCTGACGCGGCTGCTGTTATTGGGAAAGGCAGGCGAGCAAAAGGTAGGGGCAGAATGGCTCAAGGCCTCGTGGCATGCAGCTCGAGCAGAGGGAGAAAGGGGAGGGACGGTGAGCTGATCACGGGGCCTGAAGAGGTGAATCTGGGAAAGATGGAAGGGGGAGGAGGGGAGGAGCTGTTGGGGAAGGAGCGGGAGGGGAAGGAGGGGAAGGAGGAGCAGTTGGGGAAGGAGGGAGAGGCCACTGGTAGTGGTGGTATGAGGGGGAGGAAGGGGAAGAGGGAGAAGGGAAGTTCCCTGGTGGTGCACGATGGGTTTTATGAGTTGTTGGAGTCGAGCGGGAGTGAGAAAGGGAGTGAGAGAGGGAGTGAGAGAGAGAGCGAGGGAGCTGGTGAGAAGAGGATTGAGAGGGGGGATGAGAAGGAGGTTGAGGGGAATCGTGAGAGGGGGAACGAGGGGAGAGGTGGAGTGGACGGGGAGGGGGGTGATGATGATGGGGAGGCAGAGGCGCAGAGGCCAAGGAAGAGGCGGAAAGGCGCAGCTGCTGGGGGGAAGCAGACGAGGGGGGAAGGGGAAAAGGGGCAGGGAGGGGGGAAGGGGAAGAAAGGAGAAAATGGGACGGAAGGGGAGAAGGAGCAACGGGGGAGAGGGAAGGCAGGGCGAGAGAGGCAGGTGAGGGGGAAGACCAGGGCGCAAATCGAGACAAAGGCTGGACGGGGAGCGAGAAAAGAGAGGGAAGGGAGTGGGAACGATGAGGTGCAGGAGGATCTTGGAGGAGATGAGAGGAGGGGGGAGGAGGAGGATGGGGAGGAGGGAAGGAGGGGAAGGGAAGGGAGTGAGGAAGCAGGGGAGGCCAGCGCAGGGAAGAGGAAGAGGGGGAGGCGGCAGGAAGGTGAGGGTGGCCTCTCAAGGGAAACGAAAGGCGAGGAGTGGAAGTTAGAGAGAAAGCCAGAGCGAACACACACAAAGAAGATCGGTGCTCAGAAGGTGTCTGACAGAGCTGAGGAGCGAGGGGGAGAAGGACAAGAAGGGAGAGGACTCAGAGGAGAAGGGAGAGGAGGAGAAGGGGGGGCGGGGAAGGTGCAGGAGAGTGACGAGGTGCAGGAGTGTGTGGAGGAGATCAGCGTTCCAGGGAGGGCGAGGAGGAGGAGGAGCAGCAGTGGGGCGGCAGGATCCTATCGCACTGGCTTGCATGGTTTGTCTCCAGTGCGGGTACTGTTCAGCCGATCCCTGGACGCCAACACAACGAGCGAGTTGACGAGAATAGTGGAGCGACTAGGAGGGGATGTGGTGTCTGACACCTCCCCCGCCACCATCACCACTGCGTCCGCCCTCGCTTCCTCCTCCTCCTCCTCGTCCCCTGTGGTTGCCGCTGCTGCTCCTGCCGCTTCAATCTGCACTCACTTTGTCTCAGCGACGAAAATAACTCGCACGATCAATCTCCTCGTTGCCATCTCCAGGGGCTGCCACGTGTGCACTCCTGATTGGCTGCACGCGTGTGCGAGGGCGCGAGGGTTTGTGGATGCGGAGGGCTATGGGGTGAGGGACAGGGGGAAGGAGAGGGAGGTGGGCTTTAAGCTGCAGGAGGCGGTGGGAAGAGCGAGGGAGCGAGGGGTGTTGGAGGGGCAGCGGGTGTTTGTTACTCCGAGCACCACGCCTGATGCACACTCGCTTGCTGCCGTTGCGGCTGCTGCGGGTGCTGAGGTGAGCTTTCATTTGTGCTGTTCCTGGTGCTTCTGAGACTAACTTCCATTTGTATTGCTGGCAGCAGTGCTGCTGAGAAGATCATTAATCTGTGCTTCTATCGGTGCTGTGCTCAGCTTCATCTAGACTCTGCCACCTCTTCGCCGCTATGCTAACGCTGCCTGCCTGTTGCTTCACCAACCCCCCATGGCACATCTCCAGGTGCTGCCATCGACGTCTGCCCAGGCTGCCCCAACGGTGATCATTTCATGTGAAGCTGACCGAGCCGTCTGTGAAGCACGGGCGCTGCAAGGTGGGTGCCATGGATTCTGCATCGGTTCGTCCTATGAGAATAGGCTCAAAGCTGTCAAAGGCCAAAGGCCACCCATCCACTCACGCCATGTTACCGCTTCGACCCCATCCATGCCTCCTTATTCCAACATGCCACTATCCTTCCTACCCCTTCCACCCCTCCCACATCGGGCCATCAGGTGTGCCAATCTTCTCTCCCGAGTTTCTTCTGACAGCAGCGATGCGCCAACAGCTAGACTGGGACAGGTTAGCACTTTGACAGGTCAGCATAGGGACAGGTCAAAGAACTTGGAAAGGTCGACACGGCACTGGGACAGGTCACTGGTGCCTCCTTGGTGAGCCTCAGAGAGCACCTACACTCGCATAAATGTGTCCTGTTGGTTGTCCTCACTGACTCCTCGCTTGATTCTCCCCTCACCCTTCTTCCCCCCTTCTTTCTCCCTTGTTCTTTCCAATTCTGCCTCCTTTACCCCACAATCGAAGCGTTCTTCCTCCTTCCAGGCAAAACCAAAGTAAAGCACCCTTTGTATGATCGTGTATGCTCTTGTTCCTTCCTTCCCATCACCTGTATGTGCTTTCAGGAATCGTCTCCCTTAGTGTTTTGGGAAGCACCTTCACCTTAGCCATTTGGATTCAAATAAATCTGGTAAAGGTGGTGTATACTACCATATCGGCATGTATATTTGCTACTTTTGTAGCTAGGATTAATCGATTACACTTGTAAGGACGTCAAACAATACGTGTACTTCTGATCTGTTCCAACTTCCAACCTTCCATTTTTTCCAGATTGGGGGCAATGTACCCGTAATCCCCCAGATGTAGGCGCATACCATACAACAGCCACCCGGACAGCCCTTCTGAAATTCAGGGTGTGGAACCTACGGTTCCGGAACTGGCAGCCACCCGGACATTTTTTATGTTACGAGTTTCGCCAGAATTCGGGAGTCAATTCGTGAACTCTCTTGCGAATGGCACAGGAAACACTGTTGGGAGGGGGTCCAGACTGGCCGAACGGCCTCCTCCCCAATTTCCGAAACGCGCCAGAAATGCTGCATGACGAAATTGACGACAGCTGGGTCTGTCACCCCATGCGCCTCGCGACTCCCGCGACAAAACCATGGTTGGTTGTGCGATCATGATGTCCGTGAGGTAGGGCGTGCGAGCGGATGGGCGACGTCACGGAAAATGCACAACTTTCGTCTTCTTCGCAAATTTCGCAAACACTGTAGCTGTTTGAATTTTCGAACGGAGGTACCAGGTGGCAAATCCAAACAGCGTTGGGTTTCGGAACCGGATGTTCCAGCGGTGTTCTCTGTTTTGTGTTGCTCCGTCCGGAACTCAGTTTCGGAATCCTGAAAGCAGAACCGTAGGTTCCATACCCTCACCTCCACAACTAGTGATCAGCCAATCGGTGTTGTGAAATGGGGATCATGCAGAACCGACATGCCCAGGCGCGACGGGCTGTGCCTCAAGGTCTGACAATTCCCAAACCGGATGGCCAAAACAAAATCTAACCCACACCTGCTCACCCCTATCGAACGGTGAAGGCAGCTTTGTCAAAACAGGCCTCTAAGTTTGCCACACCGAGCCTGATTTCCCTTCTAAAACGTAATGAAACCAATTTCAAAACCCATCACTTCTTTCCCTTTGCCTCGCTGATCCGCCAGCATGCCTGTGCCACATACGTCGAATTTCTACTCCAGGCTCTCGGTTTCGCCTCCTACCCCCACTTCAGGCACCTTTGTTCAGGCTATTCCTCTCTGGCCATGCAATTCCTCCTTGTCATGCTATTCCTCTCTATTCCCTGTTCCTCTTTGTCCCTGTGCACAGATAGGCTTGTTGATACTCTGATAGGCTTCCTGAAGCACATATCCGCTAGCTCTGTTTGCCTCTAATTCACAGTGTACTCAGTGATACCCTCGCACCACAGTCAGACAGGCGTCCTTCTCTTTAGCTCGTCACCATGTTAGGGTTGACTACGGCTTGTCATCGTCAATTGCGGAGTAAGAAATATATAGGAGCATGGATGGTGTAGTTTTTAAGATGCGGTATGTGAGCGAGATAGACATAGGTGGCAAATATGGGTGATCTAAGCTTCAGGCCGAGAAATAAGGGTGATATAGTCTTCAAGTCGCAAATTAAGGGAGATTTAGTCTTCTTGTAGTTCAATACTAATGATTTAATATTCACTTCGCAAAGTACTGATTCTGCCATTCGATGGCGCAGTTAGCGAGGTCTAAAAACCCGCGACCCAAATTGTTCATATGCAGTGCGTATGAACTTTGAGCCTCAGCCTGCACGAAATTTGCGGAAACATCGCGAGGGTGTTTCATCTCGCAAATTCGTGATTTGTCGTGAACCGTCAGATTTGCAAACGCATAGTTTGACGGCTGAGATTACAATTCAATTGACTGGGGGAATAACACTATTTTCGCGCCGTCATATGGTAATCTGAAAGAAATGGACGGATGAAAAACACGTGGCACTTGGTGTCCCAAAATACTTGCCGCACTGAACTTGAAAGGTACCCCTAAGTGACGCGAGTTATGTTACCCCCCCCCCCCCCCCCCCCCCCCCCACACCCACGAAATCACAACTTTCAAATGCACTGCGTCTGAAGTCCGCGCCTCGCAATTTGGGTCGCGGGTTTTAATCCGGCTGAACTCGCAACTCAGAACGCCCTGCAGCAAGAACCCTACGATACATCGTTTGCTGACAAACGACCTTCCTTAACGGAACGATTCCGCTGACAGAACGTTTTTTGCAGATAAAACGTCCTTCGCTGACGGAACCACGCCTACTGGCGGAACAAGGTTCTATCGGCGGAACGTCTCGAAAAAGCTCGTCCTATTGACAGACTGATGCCTGCTGGCAGAACGAGGTCTGCTGACAGAACGGCGTCTTCCAGCGGAATTGCATCAGTCCGGGGATGTCGTCTACTGGTTCTGCTGGTGTATCGAGACGACATCTGCGGAGGCCAAACCCTAAACCCTAGCTTAAACCTCCTTCGAACAGCGCTAGCAGGTCATCTCCGGCAGAAGCTGCTTCAGGAACCACATGTGGTCTGTGAGAAGTGGCTTGAGTTGCGGCGTAAAGTGCGGACTGTTCATGAGGACCTGGAATTCCTGAAGTGCAACTGGTAGCAGCACCCATGCGATTTGAGAATGAGCATGCGGCATCTTGTAAGGAATGGCTGTGATTGGATATTGGCGATATTGACACTTTTGAGACGGTAGTGTTAGCGTAATGAAGTAGTCTAGAAAAGGGCACACACGGGTCCTTATGCATTGGTGTTGTACTCTCTAAGAGCAGGCACCTATATAGCCTATAACAACTAATATATATAAGTTGACACACCCCCTAGGCTAGACAAGAGGGCAGTGCCTAACAAGAGACACGCATATCAGGGTGGTATTACTAGTCCAACCTCTGAGGCAAGAGACTGAAGACTGCCACAAGGCGACGATCACGGTCCCAGAAAGTGTGAAGCTACTGGAACTCGACCAAGCTGTACATAATGTCGCTGATGATCTTTAGGCGCAAGCGCCTTTGTAAAGATATCAACTTTGTTGGCACGAGAGGCCAAGTGTACTACGCAGGCCTGGTGGCGCTGCTGTAGCTCGCGCAGAATGATGGGTCAGCAGATGACGCGAAGAACGGCAGGCCTGCTAACGTAGCACGCAGCGTGTCGTGCCACTCATGGGGCACCAGCCGCAGACCGTAAACCGGATGCAGGAGGAGCCACTCGGTCCTAGGGGCGAAGGTGCCTGGGAAGCTTGGCGGACAGCGGAGGTAGACTTGCTCATGCAGACTGCCCTGGAGAAACGCTGTAGAGGAGTCCAACTTGTAGTCGCGCTGTGCTGCTATGCGAAGCAGCGCCCGAAGAGTGGTCATCTTCGAGGTCGGTGCGAAGGTCGGAAAGAAGTCAACACCCTCGCGCTGACTGAAGCCTCTAGCAATATAGCACGCCTTAAACAGCGGCGGCTCTCCAGGAGGGCGCTTCACTTTGAAGAGTCACCGGCCATCGACTACGTTCACCCCAGGTGGGGGAACTGCGTGGACGTAGGTGCCAGTGGATTCCCCAGATGTCATTTTTGCGTCCATGGTAGCTATCCACTGAGGTTGCCTCGGTGTAGGTGCGAGGGGTCGGGATGTCAAGGGCATCTGGGTCATTCTCAAGGACTAGCACCATAGAGCAGAGATGAGGAGCAGCTTTGGACAGGAAAGCTAGCTTATACTGCCTGTCCTTTAAGACGTCACTGCCAAGGGCAGGTGCACCCCCAGAACGGGCAAGGTCAGAGACTAGTCAAGGCAAAGTCAGCGGGTAGAGGCAAAGTCAGTGACGGCGGCGACAAGAGCATCAAGTCTGGAGACAGGAATGGACGGATCGGTAACCAGAGAGGCGAGGACCCAAGGAACAAGAGGACTAGCAGCACAGAGAAAGTCAGAGAGAGGAGGCAGAGAAACAATAAGGGACAACTGAGAAGGCGACGGGAGGAAAGGAGCATGAGACGCATGAGAACAAAGCAGCATAGGGTGAGAACGCAAAGTCAGGGAGACAGGACGAGCACGAGAGGGACGGCGAGACTGGAAGTGGGAGGGAGGCGTTGGGTCAGAAGACATAGGAGGAGAACGAGGGGAAAAATGGCCAGGAGACTAGTCTGGCGGAGGAAACACATGGCCATAGACAGGCGGAGGAGGCGGCACCGGGGGAAGCGTGGGCGGCCGGTCGGGGGAGGGAAGATTAAGGAGGCAAAGGGCGAAAACCGGCAGCGACTGCTGTGGCTTCTGCTGCTGCTCCGCGCCCACACCAGAGCCTCTAGCCACACCACAGCTACAGTGACGGAAACAATTGTCCGGATGTTTGGCATTAATTAGGGTTTTTGGGCTTTTTGACTACAGTACATAAACTCTTAATGTTTAATGGTGGTACGCTTTGGGAGGGGCATATAGTGAATGTGTTCAGAGTGCTAAATTCCATAATAGTACAGTGGATCTAACTTAGTGCCAAAAGATATACAAAGAGTACATCCGGACAATTATTTCCTTTAACAAAGAGCAAACTTCCGAGCAGCGTTTCTAGTACCTAGTCCACCAACACTTGGCATTGATAACCACCTGCACCCTCCTAGGCATGTTATCTACGAGGTTAGTGCAAACCTTTACAGGGATCTTCTCGCACTCTTCCTGGACAAACCCTTTAACATAAGGGGGTGAGCACATGGAAAATCGCAAAGTATTTGAACGTATGCAAGAGTACTGTGCACGATTTCATGTTGAATGTTATCTCAGAGACTAGCCATTCTGAGGTGTGGCCAAGGATGTCATAAGTCGATTAGTCCCATCTTATCATGAATTTTCTTCGTCGTACCGTTGTAGGGTAACATTACGAGCAGAGTGGCGAAAACTAGTGTGTCCGCCGCGAAACTTAGGGTAACATAGCACGGTCGACTGTGCACCCATTCACTAATAGAATCGCATTAAAATCTACGGGTCTCGTCACGGTGCAGCAGTCGAAGAAGCCCCGACTGGTGGGGAAAAATATCCGGGTTCAGGTCTGGTGACGAAGAGGGTCACTCCAGTGCTACAAACTCATGCTCTCCAAGCCATTCCAAGCTTAGGCGGGACACATGGCTTAGAATGGATTGGAGAACACGAGTATGTTACGCTGGAGTGACCCTTTTCCTCACCAGATCTCAACCCGAGTATTCTTTCTGGACAGTCGCGACTTCTTCGACAGCTGCACCATGACGAGACCTACGGATCCTAGCGCGATTCTAATAGTGCAAGGATGCACTGTCGACCGTGCTATGTTACCCTAAGTTTCGTGGCAGATACGCTAGTTTTCGCCACTCTGCTCGTAATTTTACCTAAAACGGTACGATGAAGACGATCCATGATAAGACGAGACCAATCGACTTATGGCATCTTTGGCCACACCTCAGCGTGGCTAGTCTTAGAGATAACATTCAATCTGAAATCGTGCACCATACTCTTGCATACGCTCAAATCCTCTGTGATTTTCCTAGTGCTTACCCCCTTATGCAAAAGCGTGGGTCCAGGAAGAGTGCGAGAAGATCGCTGTAAAGGTTTGCACTAACCTCGTAGATAACATGCATAGGAGGGTGCGGGTGGTGATCAAGGCCAAGTGTCGGTTGACTAGGTACTAGAAACGCTGCTCGGAAGTTTGCTCTTTGTCTTGGGAAACAATTGTCCAGATGTACTCTTTGTATATCTTTTGGCACTATGTTAGATCCTGTGTACTATCATGGATTTTAGTGCCGTGAACACATCCACTATGTGCCCCTCCGAAAGCGTACCACCATTAAACATTAAGAGTTTATGTAAAATGGTCGAAAAGCCCAAAAACCCTAATTAATGCAAAACATCCGGACAATTGTTTCCGTCACTGTACCGCCGAGACTCTCCACGATAGCACCCCCAGGACAAGCACCCCCAGAGTCAAAAACCTCTCCAGTACCCCTGCCATCCTCAGGATCATCGGAACTAGCCACGACAGTACCCCCAAGACTAGCACCCCCAAAACCAGCACCCTCCCTAGCACTAGCACCCCCAGAGCTCACAGACCCCTTTGGTTGCGACTGCTGCTGCGGCGGCGGCCACGGCGGCTGCGGCGGCGGAGGACGCACACACCGCAGGGAAAGGCGGCGGACCTTGAACCGCAGGGCCCCCAGAGTGAGCAGACTCCTCTGCTGGGCCAACAGAAGCAAGCGGACTGATGTTAGACACACCAGTCTCTGCAGTACAGGGAGCGGGAGCTACCAGGGGAGTGGGGACAAGGAACAGGGGCATTGTGACCGGGAGACCTCGGTGGGGATAATGGGTGTAGAAGGAGACAGGCTCGTCAAAGGTGATGTCACGCGAATAAGAGAAGCAGTGAGACAGCGGGTGGTAAAACTGCCAGTCGGTCTCATCAAGGGGGAAGCCAAGGAAGACACAAGGAATGGTGCACGCAGTGACTTTGTCCGTACCAGAGGCGAGAACATGAGCTAGGCAGCCCCAGATGTGGAACGCAGAGGCTTCATCAGGGGATCCGGTCCAGAGGAGGATTGCTGGGAGCATGGCCGCATGTTAAGCTGGTGAGAGGCGTAGCGCACTGCAAACGGCCATAGAAAATAGGGTGCACCATCATGGATTATGGTGGTACGAGCCATCTCCATGACCAAACTGATACATCGCTCAGCGACCCCATTTTGCTGTGGGGAGTCCGGCAGGGTGTATGACAGGGTAATGCCCTCCGCACGACACAACTGACCAAGTCGACCAGAGGCAAACTCACCGCACCGTTGGAGTGGAGACGGCGCGCTGGCAGGGCGCCGTAGACATGCACAGCTACAAGCTACGGGATAAGATCGTCAGGCACGTCGGTCTTCCGCTCCAAGGAAAACACCATGGTGTAGCGCTTGTAGTCGTCTATGAGCACCAGAAAGTAGTGCTCGTAACTCGGCCCAGGGACAAGCACTGGGCCCCATACGCCCAAGTGCAGGGTCTGGAGTGGTGCAGTGGTAGGGGGAAACGAGAAGTGAGGAGCATGGCGGAACCGACCCTCGACGTAAGGTGTGTACGGAGGCGTGGGCGAGGGAGGAAGGGCAGGGAGGGACACAAGGAGACATAAGACAAGATCGTGCCTTGACATGTAACGCAGATGCGGGAGTGCGGGGTGACCTAGGCGGTGGTGCCACAGAAGCGACGGGTGAGTGAGCGACCGACACAAGCAAGCTACAGCAACCTAAGTAGGCGCCGCCACCTAAATGGATGCTCCCCCCAAGGGGAACGCGGTGTCTAGCATTAACAGGCCTGACACCGGGTCCTAGGGGAACATGGTGAGAGGGGCACCAATGGCGACCTTGGTACAAACTGCGTATAGCTCGTGTCCGGGGAACGTAGTGGTGACGCCGAGGTTGTCACAGGATCGAATGTGTCGAGGAAAGATTGCACTATCGATCAGTACAAGGCGCTTTTATACTTCCAGAGTACATCAAGTCACCAGGTTTATCTTATCCTACGGGAATAGACCCTTCTAGAAGATAGAATCACCCTGCGTATAGCCACGCGAGGCTATTGGCTTTAAGGGATTACGGCAGGATTACGCTAGATATAGCGCCCAGTACATCCCAAGCCTGGTCAGTGATATAATTATAATAGCAGGATAAACCAAAGGTTAATGGAAATGGAGAATAGGAAACCAAATGAGATGGGACAAATAGAGAAATGAAAAGAGGAAGGAAATAAGAAAAGGCCAAGTGGTGTAACGGGGTCGTACTCTCACACTTCCCCCCCTCAAAGCTGGGTGGTAGAAGTAACACCCTGCTTGACAAGGTAGTCACGCAGAGGACGACGGGCGTTACCCATGTCGGACTCAGGTACCCAGCTGTCCTCAGAAGGATCATAACCCTTCCAACGGATGAGAAGCTCCACGGTGCCATTTCGACGATGGCGGTGTGCGAGGACGGACTCGACCTCGTATTCGGGTTCATTATGGATGAGGACGGGCTGCGGCGCCGGCGGTTGGCATCCGACGAAGATCGTGTTCGGATCCCGATAGGGCTTCAGAAGTTGGACATGGTAGGCGTTGTGAATCTTCCAGGTAGCTGGCAGGCGTAAGCGGAAGGTAACAGGAGTGACCTGTGCTTCAACGAGAAAAGGCCCGCAGAAGCGAGGTCGAAGTTTAGATGGGAGGTGACTGATGTCCTGGTTGCGGGTGTCAAGAAGCACCTGGTCTCCCACCATGATGGTGTGGTCGTTGCGATGGCGATCGGCCTGGCGCTTCTGTTGCTGTTGAATGTCGAGGAGGCGCTTGTGGGTCCGATCCCAAAGCTGATGCATGGTTGTGATAAAATCATGTGCAGGTTGGACTGTAGCGGATGCTGTCGGTTTTTGTGGTGTGAGTGGGTGGCGTCCGTAGCAGAGGAAGAACGGCGTCTGTCCAGTAGCGGCATGTATAGCATTGTTGTAAGCAAACTCTAGTACAGGCGGGTGCAAGTCCCATTTGGAGATCTCGTCCTTGCAGGCTGCTCGGAGGAGTTGCTCAACAATTTGGTTGAGGCGCTCAGTCTGTCCATCTGTCTGCGGATGGTAAGCAGATGACATGGCGAGTTTGGTCCCGAGGAGAGACATAAGTTCTTTCCAGAACTTGCTGGTGAACTTAGGGTCTCGGTCGGAGATGAGTGTGGTTGGAATGCCATGCTGTGAGATGATGTATCGAACGAAGATTTGTGCTGTTTCTTCGGTGCGTGCTGTCGTATGTGTCGGGATGAAGTGTCCCATTTTGGAGAACTTGTCAATGACGACAAGGATGGCGTCATGACCGCTGGAGGTAGGCGGTAACCCGGTGATGAAGTCCAGGCTAACCACTTGCCATGGTTGTTCTGGGACAGGAAGAGGCTGCAGTAGACCTGTCTTCTTCTGCTTGCTGCTCTTCATCTGCTGACATGTATCACACGAGGTGACGAACTTCTGGACATCTTCTGCCAAGTGGGGCCAGTAGTAGTGCTTTGCGATACCGGTGAGCGTCTTGTTGCTACCAAAGTGTCCGGCGTAGAGGACGTCGTGGTATTCTTCGAGTAGTAACTGGCACAAAGGAGGGTAATTTGGTACCCAGATCTTCATTGATCCTTTCCGGTACGCGATGTCGTTATCCCACTGTAGTAGATGTCGCTTTTCTGCCAAGGGAATTTCAGGGTCGGTGGCATACCCGTGTGTGAAGAGTCCCTTGAGTAGTGGATTCATCCCTTCGACCTGAATAGCGGCAACGTGTGCAGGCCGGCTGAGAGCGTCTGCTTTGTTTTTGTGACCGGGCTTGTACACGATGTCGTAGTGGAAGTGTGTCTCGAGGAAGTCGATCCACCGGACCTGCCGCCTGGAAAGGTTGGGTTGTGTCTTCAAGTATTTCAGGCTGCAGTGGTCGGTGTAGACGGTTGTTCTTCGTCCTTCGAGATAACATCTCCACGCTTTGAAGGCGATGATGATAGCCAGGGCCTCCTTGTCGTGTATCGGGTAGTTGAGTTCTGCCCCGTGTAGTTTCTTACTTAGGTAAGCGATTGGTTGCAGTCCATTCCCTTGATCTTGCATCAAGACTGCTCCCACTGCTTGGTCACTGGCGTCAGCTTCGATGACGTAGTCGCGTTCGGGGCTGGCAAAATGAGTACGGGTGCGGACGTAAGTGCTTGTTTCAGCTGCTCCATGGCTTCCTGGTGCTTCGACTCCCATTTGTAGGGCGTGTTCTTCTTCAACAGATTCGTGAGTGGTGTTGCGAGTTTTGCATACTGTGGCACGAACTTGTTGTAGTAATTAGCGAAGCCTAGGAACTGCTGCAACTCCTTCACGTTCTCGGGTGTCTTCCATGTGCGTACGGCTTCGATTTTCTTGGGGTCGACGTGAACTCCTTGAGCGCTCACCATGTGTCCTAGGAACTGGACCTTCTCAAGGGCGAATTCGCTCTTGGACAGTTTGACGTAGAATCGTTCTCGTCGAAGAATTTCGAAGACGCGTCGCAGGTGTTCGACGTGCTGCTTCATGTCGCGCGAGTAGATGAGGATGTCGTCCAGGTACACCACCACGCACTCGTCCAAAAGTGGTCGTAGAATGTGGTTCATTTCGGCTTGGAACGTTGCAGGTGCATTGGTGAGTCCGAACGGCATTACCAAATACTCGTACGATCCATACCGAGTTCGGAAAGTTGTTTTGTGGATAGAGTTGTCCGCCATGCGTATCTGCCAGTATCCGAACCGCAGATCCAGTTTGGAAAATACCGTAGCTCCCCGAAGCTGGTCAAGCAGATTGTCGATTCGCAGTATTGGATATTTATTCTTGATGGTCTGCTTGTTAAGAGCTCGGTAGTCGATGCACATGCGCAGGCTTCCGTCCGGTTTCGGTGTGAAGAGTACTGGGGCACCGTATGGCGAAGTGGATGGTCGGATGAGTCCTTTGGCTAGGAGATACTCGATTTGTTCTTTCATGCCGGTCAGCTCCGTAGGGCTGAGCCGATATGGTGCTCGAAAGGTCGGCTTCGAACCCGGTTCCTCCACGATCTCGTGTTGATGCGTTCGGTATGGCGGTAGCTCATTCGGAAGATCGTCCGGAAGAATATCTTGGAACTTCTTCAATAATTCCTTGATCTTTCCTGGAGGTTCCGAGGTTTTTTCCCTATCGTTCTCCGCCTCTGTTGCTATCGCCAGGAACCCGGTGTCGGTTCACTTCACGTCCTTCTCGAATCGTGCGAGTGTCTCCACTGGGATATCTACTGTATCGTCCCAGTTGGGTAGCTGTACTCTCCGTCCATTGTTGTAGATACTTGCGGTGCGATTCACCCAGTTGATCTCGGGGTTGAATATTTTTAGGAAGTCTCGCCCGAAGATCAAGTCAAGCCCCTTGATGTTGGTGATGGGGAGTGCAGGTCTCCAGCGCAGTGGTCCGATTTGTAGGTGTAACACTGCTTCGCCGTGTACTGGTAACTTGCTGCCGTCCACCATCGTTGCAGAGAATCCTGAAGGCTTGTACTCCTCCCGAAGCCGGTCGATTACTGCCTTGTCGTAGACGGTGTGTGATGCTCCACTGTCCACAAGTTCTTGGAGGCGTCGTCCTTTACAGATGACCTCGAGCACGAGGGGCAGGCGTTGCTCGGAGTACCCAAAGATAGTTTCATTGATTGGGTCATAGGGTACATCCCAATATTCCGTACACACCTTTGTGTTGCTATCTACTCCTGAGCTGGCAGCTGGCCGAGGCTGCTTGGAGAACGGCTCTTCTCCAGGGCCCGGAGTTTCCTTGATGACTGTGCGCGTCACTGATGCCGAAGAACTGGATGCATCCGGAGGAGGATTTCGGGGTTTGTGCAGCTTCTTATAGACCCCCAGCTTCCTCTTGAGCTGCTTCAGCTCCACTGACGTCTTCCCTGGGGAACGGGTAGTTGTTGTGGGCTGGTGTCGGGAGAGGACGTTGACTCCGTGGAAAGGTCGGCTTCTTTCCACACTCCTTAATTTTTTCCCCAAGTTGTCCGGTACCGGTATAATCTCCACAGCTGTCTGCTTCTTTTGGAGTCCTCCCCGAATCTTCAAGTCTCTAGCCCCTCGAACATCATAAGTTTTCATTAAAGCATCTTTATAGGATAGCTTTAATGAATTCTTATAATTTCTTGGGTCTTCAAGGAGTTTCCCCGTCTCGGCAGAGTCTTTTTTCGCGGAGTCCGATTTTTTCTCGGCAATTTTCTCTGGCGAAGACTGGTCGTGGGGTGGAGATTTCCCCCCATCATTTCCTCCTGCTCGCGTCGAATCAGCTTCGTCGAAGTTGATTTTTCCGGGATCCCGCGGCCGCTTCCGGATCTTTTCTTTTTTGCCAGCTAGATCCGCAATCACTGGCGACTCCCGTTTTTTGTCTTCTGATTGGCCGAAGGACTTCCGCCACTGTTGCGTGCCCGATACTCTGCGCGTGCGGCTTTCATTTTGTTGCAGTCGAAGATTCGATGGCCCGGCACCCCGCAAAAATCACACGTGTAGTTGGTGTTTTTCGGACGTGGCCGCCCATCGAACCTGTTGATTTCCATCGGTTCGGCGAACGTGGTGTGAGCCGAGCGGTCGCCCTGTCGCGTACTGCCAACGTGCGTCCGTCGTGTCCCGGCGTTGACCATGTCGAAGAGCTCCGCTGCCGAAACGACGTCACTGTAGCTCGCGTAGTTTGACGCTGCTACCTGGCGTTTGACTTCGGTCTTCAGCCCGGCGAGGTACGATTGTAATTTTTCCCCCTCGGTCAGGTCGGGAATGCGGTTATAAAATTCCTCCATCTGCTGCGTGTACTGTGCTACACTCCCGAACTGTCGATGGCGATGAATTTTTTCCCGGGCAAGGAAACTGGAATTTATCGGCTCGAAGCGTTTCAGCAGGTCGGCGCGGAACTGCTGCCACGTGGCTTCACCGTGGATCAAGGTACTGTTGCCGCCAATTCACTCGAGTGCCGGCCCTCGCATCAGTGTCGACGCGAGTCGTACACGTTGACCGTCCCAGACTGGCGAGCTCCATCCGACGGCTGCGAAGTAGATCTCCATCCCGGCGATCCATCTGCGGGCGTCGGAGTTTCGATCGCTCGGATCGAACGGCTCAGGTGGGCGCGGTTTCGGAGCCTCGAGAAACTGCTGCGACTGCTGCGTCGTCGCCGTTGTCGTTACGTGCTACGCTCCGGCGAGTCGAGTTACTCGCTCGAACTCGTTTCGCCAGGCTTCGCGATCCGCTCGCATTTCCTCCTGAAGAGCTGCGATGCGCGCGAAGAGCTGCTGGGTAACCTCGGCGTTGTCGAAGGTTGCCATCCTGTTGAAAACACGCACGGAGGGGGTAATTCGAAAATCGCGGAGCTGGTGCTTACCAGAATCGGCGTCGAATTGGTCGCCCCCGGCGGTTTTTCGAGGCAGGTTTTCCCGCTGCTGCTGCTTTGTTGAGCGCGGCCGAGTGAGAAAAGCTCTGATTACCAAGTGTCACAGGATCGAATGTGTCGATGAAAGATTGCACTATCGATCAGTACAAGGCGCTTTTATACTTCCAGAGTACATCAAGTAACCAGGTTTATCTTATCCTACGGGAATAGATCCTTCTAGAAGATAGAATCACCCTGCGTATAGCCACGCGAGGCTATTGGCTTTAAGGGATTACGGCAGGATTACGCTAGATATAGCGCCCAGTACATCCCAAGCCTGGTCGGTGATATAATTATAATAGCAGGATAAACCAAAGGTTAATGGAAATGGAGAATAGGAAACCAAATAAGATGGGACAAATAGAGAATGAAAAGAGGAAGGAAATAAGAAAAGGCCAAGTGGTGTAACGGGGTCGTACTCTCACAGAGGTCTTGAAGACAGCCAACACCAACTAGGTTCTTGGAGAACGAGGGGATGTGCAAGCCTATAAGGGGGCCCGAGGGGCTTGCTGGATAGGGAAGGGTGGTGGAGCTACCGGTCTTGAGGAGGGGTCATCAAGAGCAACAGCCGCAGGGGCGGCAAGTGCCGTGAGCATAGTGTGGCCGCGAAAGAAGCAGGTGGATGCACTAGAGTCGGGCGTAAAGAGAGCGCATCGGTAGAGTCATTCGAAGGAGGTACGAGGGTGGATCCATGGCTAACTAGGCAGGAGGACCTATTCCTGATGCTGCAAGGGAGCCTAAACTACACACAGCGGACACACCTGCACTCGACAACACAAGGGCAATGAGGTCCAATCACACTAGAGTCACAGCATACATGACAAACAAAGCAGATCCAATCTGGTCCATATCCATCTCAATTACCAGCACACGGCGATGTACCAGGCTGTGCCAGTCCGGGAGGTCCGGCACGGGCCCGAAACGGGGACGGAAGAGGTCGTCGAGGCGGCGGTAGCAGCGGGTGGCGGTATGACCGGGACGGTCGCACTCGATGCTGCGAGGGGGACCGGCCTGAAGCTGGTACTGGCATACACCGCAACTGAGCCGGCACCCGACGCTGAGTTGCGCGAGCCGCTACCGTGGCCGACGCCACCAAAGTCACTAGGCCACCACGGCGGCGGGGGTCCCCACGACTGCTGCTACTGTTGCTGCTGCGACTTCTGTTGCTGCTGGGGCTGCTACTAATGCTCCGGAGCATCAGCCTTGGGCCCTTCGTCTGTACCACTGGTACTCGCACCACCCTCACCACCCTGCCCTTTGCTACGCCCCCCCCTCTGGGATGGCGGCCCTTACCCTGACAAGGCTGTGCTGAGGCCGCCGCAGCGGTCTCAGCAGTAGGGGGTGTCTTGGCGACAGCGGCAAAAATGTTAGAGTAAGTGTAATAAGAGGGAGCACAACCTTGGAAAGATAGTGACCGGCACAGTACCGCTAGACTGAGCGATAGTACATTGATGGGTCTCTATCGCGGACAGGGTGGTGACAAAGATATTAAGGGTAATGTCAACGGGATGGAGAGTGAGGAATTCCGCTGGCCCATCAGCTGGTCGGCAGAGGTCGGTGAGCCACGCCTCAATGTCAACCGCCCGACCCTCCGCGTACAGGCGGAGCACAACGTCCGCCATAACCACAGCTGCATCAGCTGACGACCGCTAGAGGAGGAGGAGAATGGTGGAGAGTGGTGGAGAGCAGTGGAGAATGGTGAAGACAGCCTGCGAACGCGCCGGCTCAGAGGGGAACTAGTGCTGGTGGCGAAGAGGCACGGTGGCACGGTGCCATTGCGGCATAGCGACACTGCGGCACGGTGGCTCGGCGGTACGGCGGCACTGCGGTACGGCGGCACGGCAGCACGGGGACACAGCGGTACGGTGACACAGTGGCACGGCGGCACAGCGGCACGGTGAGCTGGGACGGCTTGTCTCAGCAAGTAGAGTCTGGCGGCGGGCCAACAGCGCGTAGGGAGCTGGCGGCGGGCCAGCGAGCCAAGGCCGGTGCGAACTGGGGCTGGCGAGCAAGGGCTAGCAAGCTAGGGCCGGCACGAGGTGGAGTCGGCGAGCTAGGGTCGGTGAGCTAGGGACGGCGAGCTAGGGCCGGTGCGAAGCCACCGAGCGAGCTAGGGCCGGTGAGCTGGGGCCGGCGAGGGAACCGGGGCTGGCGAGCGAGGCGAGCTAGGGCCGGCGAGCTAGGGGGCCATGCAGCAAGAAAAGGGGTCTCGCGCGGAGCGCAAAGGGCCAGCGGTGAGCTAGGGGCCAGCGGGCGAGCTATGGGCCAGTGGGTGAGCTAGGGGCTAGCGACGAGCGAGGGGCTAGTGGCAAGCGGAGGGGCCAGCACGGTGGGCTAGGAGCCAAAGCGGCGTGAAAATGGTGGGGCATGCTCTAAGGGGCGGGGCGAGCTAAGGCCAGGCGGTGAGCTAGGGGCAGCGCGACGAGCTAGGGGCCAGTGTGGTGGGCTAGGGGCCAGCGCGGCATGGCGGCATGGCAGGGCGCACTACAGTAGGCTAGGGCGGAAGGGCGGTGGGATCTACTTGTTAATAAAAGGCTAGGAACTAGGTAGTCATAGGAGATCGAGAGGTTTAGCTAGGGGACAGAATTGTCGAGTGAAAAGAGGGACAACTAGGAAGAGAAAGAGATACAAAAAAGGGGGGGTTGTCCCCTCTACAGTAGGATTCAGCAATATAGCACGCCTACCAAGCCTAACCAAACATATGTAAAATATATCTATGATTTGACACACCCCCTAGGCTTGTTACTGGCACGCCCACCCCCACACCCTTGCACCCCCATGCCGTGCATCAGCTGTGACATCGACCCTTCGGGAATCCAGTCGGCGATGTCAGCGGCGGGTCTCAGCGGCGACGGTGGTGTCGGCGTCGGCGGCAAGGCCAGCAGCACCTGCGGCGGTGGCAGCAGCGTTGAGGCACCCGACGGCGGCAGGCGGCGGTGCCCGAGGCACCCGGTGGTGTGGCCTACAATGCGACGACGAGAGGGGGAATGCCACAAGACAGCCTGCAGCTGCGGCGGAGAGGAGGGGGAAGGGGGGAGTCTTCACCGAGGCGCCGTGGCTGGCGCGACGCTGGCTGGCATGTGGGCGAGCTGGCGGGCGCTAAAACCGTGCGCTAGCCCACTACCGCCCGTGCACTGGCGCGTCGATGCCGCTACGTTTGCACGAAGACGCCACCACAGCATGGAGTCGACTCTACGGCAGCTCATCGACGCCGACACGGCAGCACGACGCCTCCGCCACGGCAGCTCGTCTACG